TTCGAAGGGGGCAATGTTGTTTGGAGGCTGCCTGGTGGATGCCATGTCATAATGAAGCAGTGCAGCTGTGGCGAAGATGCCTGGGAGGGATCACAGGAGATCAAGGAGCCCCCCCCCCGTCAAAGAGGAACACCTTGCCCTTGACAGCCAGCTTGTGGGAGTCGGCTCACTGCAGTTCGGCACAACAGCAGATAAATACCAAGCTCGGTGTAGCGTATGCAATGAGGCTTTCTGCGAGTGTGCCCTTGTAAAGTATGTAGAAGGTGTGTTTGTAAGGTGGTGAACATGACTAAGGAGGGGTGGTGAGTGTGGAGGCGGGCCTGACACTCACCTCGCAGGGGGCCAGGGAGTCTCTGGTGGATCAGAATGTAGAAAGAACTAAGTCATGAGTGCATGTACAGTATGTTTGTGCACACGCCTGAAGTCTTAGCTCAAGAAAAAGGTCAGAACATATAAAAAATGTACTCTAACTGCAGCAAACAACAGGCAGCAGTCTGTGCCATAATATCTGGGAAAGATGCAGCCAAATATGTTGAACATGCAGCCTATGAACAGTCATGCAAATACATGAAAACGAAGTGTGTGTGTGCATGGTTATGTTAAAAAGAGGGAAGAAATTAAACACTTGAAGACATTTTAGACGGGGGATTTCCAAATTAACTTGGACTTACATCTGTACATATTGTTTTAGTGCTTAAAATTCATTTTATATACACTTTTTTTTCAATTGTGTCCAACCACAAACAAAAGACTGCACACTTTGCAACCAACTCAGGGATACTCAAGTCCTCATATCCCTTAAGCTTATCAAGTTCTCATAGCTACCAGCAGACATGGAGCGACAACATCCGTCAGTCCAATATTCACTCTTCTTTTAGCTCTGGTTTTGGTCTCCACCATAGAGTGTATATAAAGATGGACAGCATGACAGCTCCCCAGAAGTGAAACCAAAATATCTTGACCCCCCTCTGGTGGCTGGCGACAAAAACACCTCACCTCCTTCCTGCCCTACACAGACATTCTCAGTCTTTATAGCATGTCAGTAGCTCTCAGCATCAAGTATTGCCATGGATGGGTTTGCACTGGAGTTAGTTTAAAGCCCAGTGCATCTCCTAAAGACACCAAAGGCTACCTTCAGTGTCAATATCACACACCAAAGGGTCAAGGGGTGTTACAAAGCATCAGTATTTGACGCCCTGGGAATGGGAATAGGCTGATAATATATATGTATATTTAAAGTTCAGGTCTTTAGACTCATTCAATATGAACTGGTGATGAAACAGGATGTTCAAATTTGATATAAAAACAGAGCATTTCTTTCTCTCTCTTTTCATCAGATGTTGGAAAATGGATCTTTGTTTGGTGGCAATGTGTAGAAGTGGGGTTACACACACACACACACACACACACACACACACACACTCACACAGCAGCTCGGCATGCATCAGGCCAAGAGAGCAGTGTGAGGACCAGTAGCTGAAACAGCTGACTACAGCTAAAACAACAGCTAAACTCCAGGTCAGTGCTAAAGCCATTTTGTATTTCATACAAAGAAATATACCTGACACATGTATCTTGTTCCTGTGATTAACCAGTCTAGACAATAAGCACTGCAGGAGTTTGCTAGATCGATTGCAGTGATTTCACACAGTTTTTCAAATCATGCTCAATTTTTCCACAAATTTAAACACAAAAGTAAAACCCCATCCTGTTCTGAAATGTTCCAATACTCTACTCTACATCATGCTGTCTAATATGCACGGCTGGAATACCCAAACCTGTCTCCTACACAGTATGTTTACTAGTTTGATTTGCTAAATACATTTTGGAGGAAACATGATTGCGGCCTGGATTACGTTTACAGGCATCATTTGTTTTTAATCTGGGAAGTGTGACGACTTAATACAGAAGTCATAGGGAGGATTTTAGGGTCGATGGTCGTGCATTGGGACCAAGGGACCCTGACACCAGAGTTTGTGGTTCATGTCCTCGCATGGACAGATGATGAGACAATGGGCCCCACCACCTCTCCTACACAGGAGCAAGAAACACAGATTCTGTGGTGGTTTTTGCCTCTGTTTTGTTGTTGTTTTGCGCCTCTTTGCTATTGTAATGCATTTCTTTGTGGTTTTGTGTCTCGCTGTAGTCGTTTTGTGTGTCTTGGTGGTTGTTTTGCATATTTTTTGTGGACATTTTAGCCCCATTTCCACCAAACACTTTCGGTACGTACTTTGGGAACCAACAGTAACACTTCAGACATGGTAACTAGACCCTAGGTCTGTTCAGTGTTTCCACTGCAAACAGTACTTTTAAATGTGGGCGGGGTTGTTGTCACTCACTGCTCTGTCCAGTATTTGCTGTATTTCCTCATCACCGGTGACACAGAGGAATGTACGTACCTTGTTTATTGTCCGCAGAACGAGGCTGAACCCCAATACTTTCAGAACAAAATAGAACAGGCCGTACGTGAGAGTCTCGATAGGATATTTAAAAACAGCAGCTTTGTGTATTTAATCCTTCTCAGGCAAGTGAAGCCGGCCAGCGCTCCATGATGCTTTTTTTCTCTAAGTGAGGATTAGAATATACGCAGTTCACATAATGCGGTATGTAAACGCTTGAAGATCCACTCATTACTAAAAGTGTATGTCATCCAAGAGAGACAATAAAAACTAAAGTAATGGTCAAAGTTGTCATACTGAAATTTAAGCAAAACATCCTTTCATTTTACAGTTTTAGTTTTTAGACTTGCCATGATATAAACACTTATAATAAGCCTCAAAACCAGCCACAACTCAGCACTGAGTAGAGTGACTGTCCTCTATTGACCAATCAACAGACTGCAGTGTTCACAGCTCCACCTTTTAGTACCAGATCTGTGTGCTAGGTACCCCAACAGAGGGGGGACCAAAAATGGGGACAGTACAGAACGGTTCCATTGGTACCATCCACAACTTTTCACAGTGGAAATGGAAAAAATGCATACTAAACTGAACTGAATCGAAGTGAACTGAACCGTACTGGACTGCTCAGTGGAAGCGGGGCTTTTGAGTTTCTTCCTGGTCAGGATGTGTTAATTTGAGTGACACTTTGCAGGTTAAGGCCAGAGGGGGCCTTGACACTTTGGGCCCCTGGGCCTGTGCCTGATAGGCTCATCTATATAGTCCTGCATCCCATGTGTTGTTTGGTTTGGTCTAATTAAAACTTTGGTTAATGTTAGGGTCTTGTAGTTTTATTTAAGGGGGGGTAGGGTTAACCATCACCCTAAGACCACAACCTTTCACTAACCAAACCCAGTGCTTTATCTGCCTTAACATAAACATGTATCATGCTGCAGCCGCAGGGAGCACATTTTATGGGAAAACAATATTTGCAAATAAAAAATATTTTAGCAGACGGGGTTAGGATCTGATGCAAACTCTTGAGAGCTGTATTAACTACACGGCTGTAAAAGTTCTTAATGAATCACATCAACCTCTGTACATTTTGAACTTACAACATAATATTGTTATATAGTTACAGAGGTCAATATGCTATACTCAATATTCTACACTCAGGGGTTTAAAAAGCATAATTAAAGAAACCAAAACCTGGCAAGACAGAACAGAGCAGAGAATGTCCAGCTCAACACAGCTAATTAGAGCTGTGACATGATAATTGGGCAAGATAAGAATAAACATAACAGGTCATTAAATGTTTAGGGATATGAGCTGCTTTTATTAAAGCAGGCACACTGAAAGCGAAACATGTTTGGTGGATTGTATTAACCTCATTCTGTATTAATCCTGCTGCAGACATGTGGGTCAAACTTAATGCAGCTCCGTGGAAGTGCAAGTAAAGTAAGAGAATATTAATCAATGTTTTGCAGCTTTACTGCCGGCTCCGTTCACATGATTTGGTTTAACACATTTTATGATATTTGGCTTAATTTATCAGCTTTGTCTTCATACTCCTTCTTGGGTTATTTTTTTTTACCAAATGTAAATGAAATGTCAAAAGTCTGTCTAATTTTATGACTGCCTGCAAAATGAACCAGCGAATCTGACATAAATAAATGCCTCACTGGGATTGATTTCCATGTCATCTGATCACATCAAACGGCTTCAGACTATAATTACACACATACCATATCAATCACATAAAGACACGGCAGTGCTGAATGATTTCTCTCGTGCAGGCGAGCTACTTTCTCCTCATACAGACTCATAATAGCTCCTTAGATGCTCTACTAAGGACAAGATTTTCTTGCACTTTTAACACTGAGATTGTGTTTTCCTTACACATAGATGTCACAAAGAAGAATTTCTGTTTTTACAATATACTTGGACCATATATTTAAATGTTTTTGTAAAGTCACTCTGATAGCATGATGATGGTATGCCAGTTCAAAATGAAACTGGACTTAAATTGTGAAGTCAAATATGTTCTGTTGTGAAAGCTTTCTTAGTTCTAATGCTGCATTTGTGCCATGACAGAAACATGGGAGACATAAGAAAACCTCTTGTTATAACAACTTGGGAGCATTTAGACATTATTTCAAGATGATTAGTTAGCTCTGTAGTCACACCAGAGAGCTAATTAAGCCTTAACTGCCTACATTTTAAATGATGTTACATTTTTGTAGTGGAACGAACCCTGACCCTGTGTTCTGGCATTGGCAGCCAAAATGCTGAACAAACAACTACAAATCAAAACTACTTACGGGAAACAAGGCCAAACAAAAACAGCACACCAACAATAGTCCCACCAGTCTGTTAAGTTCATATTTGTATCTTATTTTTCTTCCACTGTCAAATGCCAGTGGAAATATGAAGGAGAAAATCGAAAATTGGCTGCTTTAGTGATGGGTCTGAACGAAATATACGTATTAATGGATGTTTTCCTCTAGTCAGAACAAAATCAATTTACTTTAAAAGCACGCTTAAGTACACAAGAACACACCTTAATTAAAGATGACAGAACATATGACAGTAATGTAACTCATAATGATGCCTGATACTCACGTCTCATGTCTCTGAAGTAAATTGTCTGTCTGTTGGGGTTGAGCAGCTGGATAACAGAGTCGTCGTTGTTCTTCACCCGGCAGCTGATGATCGCCATCTCGCCCTCCACCACCGACACATTATCTGTCACCAGGTTCTGACTCACCACTGGACAGGACAAAGAAAAGAACACATACATTACCACAGGTGTATTGGTTAATCCAAAAAAGCAAGAGAAACCCAAAGCAATTGCAGTTCTGATAAGAGTAGCAAGCCTTTTTTTCAAGACACCTCCATCTTTTAGCAAGAGTCTTTTTGAATGATTCAGATATAGCATAACACTGCTATATCTACCATATGATAGAGGCTGTTTCCAGCCACCCAACCTTTTATGGTATGTCAGGGCAGCTCAGCTTAGATCAGCCTTTTCCTGGTTCTCTGATCCTTCCAATCTACCATTGGTCCAGACAGTGCCTGGGGGCCTTTCAAGACACCCTCCTGTTTTAGCAAGTGTCTTTTTTGAATGATTGAGATGTAGCTTTATCTACCATATAATAGGGGGTGGCTCCAGCTACCCAACATGTTTAGGTATTTCAGGGCAGCTCAGCTTAGATCAGCCTTTTCCTGGTTCTTTGATCCTTCCAATCTACCATTGGTCCAGACAGTGACTGAGGGCCTTTCAAGACACCCTCCTGTTTTAGCAAGAGTCTTTCTGAATGATTGAGATGTAGCTTTATCTACCATATAATGGGGTGGCTCCGGCTACCCAACCTTTTATGGTATTTCAGGGCAGCTCAGCTTAGATCAGCCTTTTCTTGGTTCTTTGATCCTTCCAATCTACCATTGGTCCAGACAGTGACTGAGGGCCTTTCAAGACACCCTCCTGTTTTAGCAAGAGTCTTTTTGAATGATTGAGATGTAGCTTTATCTACCATTTAATAGGGGGTGGCTCCGGCTACCCAACCTTTTTTGGTATTTTAGGGCATCCCAGCTTAGATTGGCCTTTTTCTAGTTCTCTGACCCATCCGATCTACTATAGGTCTACACAGTGTCAGAGGACTTTCAAGATACCTCCATGTTTTGGTAAGAGTATTTCTGAATCATCAAGATGTTGCTTAACACTACTATATTTACCATATAATAGAGGGTGGCTCCAGCTACCCAACCTTTTTTGGTATTTTAGAGCAGCCCAGCTTAGATCGGCCTTTCCCTGGTTCTCTGACCCTTCCAATCTACCATGGGTCCAGACACTGCCAGAGGACTCTTGATACGCATCTTTACCCTGTCACTCTCTGCAGGGTTAAGCAGAACACAGCTAATCCTTCTGTTAAAACCACAATTACACCTTGGTATGAATCACAAGATATGTTTAGGAAACCAACAGGGTTATCACAGTTTTCTCCCATTTGGGGTAACACATTATTTACACCAGGTAAAGCAGAGCCTGGATTTAGGCCCTGGGCTCAGAGGGGATTAAAGAAGATCTCAGGCCTTTATAGAGATAACATCCTCATGTCCTTTGAAAATGTTGAAGATAAATTTAGGATCCCTCAAGATCATTTGTTCAATATATTTTCCAAATATAGAGTTTAATTTGCTCTAAGATTCAGTCATATTAATGTCCTCTTTGGTATACTGTATCATTGAAGTACTTGAATATTCAGACCACGATGCTAAAAGGAAGATCTCCTACCGAAAACTGGTAAATGTGTCTACAAAATCGTCATTACAAATGAATTGTGTGGACAGAGGGCATTCAGACAGATATTACAGGACAGGAACGGAAAAAAAGACCCACTATCAAGCACAAAACTTAACTATTAAGTGTAGACTTAAATTGATCCAATATAACTGACTTATGAGAATGTATTTTACTCCGGAAAAACTCAAATTCAATCCTCATGTTCATGACAATTACATAAAATATACAACAGAGAAAAGAAGGCTCAGAGTTCATTGAGAGGCAGGGAAGATGTTTTGAGGAAGACTTGAAAGATGCAACCAAACCATTTTAGAAAGAGTGATGTATTATGTTCAGAATCAATAGAGATATGTGATACAAAAAAAAGGTCTTTTCGAGGGTACAAAATAAAAAGCCCAGTCACCAGAGGAAAATGTTGGCATTGTATGTTTCTACAAACCCATAAAGTTATCTTTAAATATTTTGAATATATCATAACAACGTATCTAAAGTTGGAGGAAGATGGTGGATGGCATGACATGGGTGAGATGCTTGCCAACTTGCAGACCCCTGTTAAAGCCAATAGCCAAAACTATTGTTTTTTTACTGAGACATCACTGTGTCACTTGCCGGGATAGTGTCATGAATGGTGGTTGTTTTTCACTGAGACAGTGCTGTGTTACTAGCCAGGATGGTGCCACCAAAACTGGGTATTTTAAGCGCAAACACAATCTTTTCCAAACCATAACCAAGTGCTTTTTGTGCTGAAACCTAACCACATGTTGATCACAGCACAGTTAAAACATAAGGAAACATAAAGTTTCAATGTATTAGCTACATAATAATGTACAATGTAACAATGTAAGATATGAATGGTACAATGCCAACTTTTATTCTTGCGATTGGGTTGAAATAAAGTAAAAGACAGATTCCTACATAGCATATAATGCTTTCACATAAGCACATAAGGGCTGTCAGGTGTATTAATGGAAAACAGGACAGAGGCATGACTACAGAAATGATCAGCACACATGGGATTAAAAAGAACACAGTACAACAGGAAGACAGTAAAAACATACCCAGTAAGGGTTGTCTATCTGTCTCCATGATAGCAAGTAATATAAATCAAATCAGGGCTAAACAAAGAGACGACCCAAAAGATTGTGGAGAGACAATAATTTCTATCTGGCCATTTTCAAATGTGACAGTTTTGTTAAATGACAGAGCACAGCGGCAACAAATTCAGAGCACAAAACCAGGTAGAACATCTAACTCAATAGCAAAGGATATCTCCAAAGAATATTAATGGATATTGATAGGACAGTGTTTCTCAATCTGTCACTCAGGGCCCCCCAAGGGGTCCCAAGATAAATGAGAGACATCGTGAGAGGATTAATAGAATAGGAGAGCAGAATAAAACATCTGTACTACACAGAAGTACATATACTTTTCCATTTATTTATGTACTCTGCTTACAGGAAATAACAGGGTAATTTTACCTGTTCTAGACATTGAAGTTGATTGATATAAAAGAAGAGAAAAGCAGATATAAGCTAAAGACATCTGCAACAATTGATCACAAGCTCTGCAGACAATGCGTGAGGACACTTGCATAAAGTCAGTGGATTCAATAAGCTCTGCAAATGTTTTGTCTTTAAAACTCTGCTTCTTCTGCACAACAGAAGGAACAGAAGTCCTCTAACTCTCCTTTCTTGAGTAAGTGTTGTTGATGTAATATAACATTTAATGAGTGTCAACGTGCAGCAGGTGGCGGACCAAAACCCTTTAATGCGTGTCCACCGGAATAAATAGATCTGAGTGACCAGAGAAACAGTACGAGCCTGTGGGCTGAGAAAAATTGGTCACGGCCGTCATCGTTCATCAGCCGCAACTTAGATTGCTGCACTTCCTTGTTTCACAAACAATATCTTTGCCTGACGAATGAAAAATGGATTCTTTGTAGCTGTATGCTATTTTGATTTGAAAAACTACAGTAATAACATCTCAGACTTTGCTTTGGGGTTGCATCCATTGTCGAGGTTGATGGTATGCCTTGAGTGGCTTTGGTTTGTTTTGTTTTAAATGATCGCCACAACACCAGCACCTGGCAGCTCAGCAGTGGTGGCTGCTACTTATGTTGGTCCCCAGCACAATATTTTTCTGATGAGATACAGCGCACACATATGCTCTAGGCTGCAAGGATATGGAAAAACACGAACAGGCAGTCAAAGTGAAAGGTCAAATCAACAATTTAGGGTATCAGCCACAGAGTCACGTATAAGCCTCTTTTACACTGCCTGTTGAGGCGGGAATATTGCGCCGTTATGCCGCCTCACTGTTCTGTATATAGGGTACCACTACAGAATGGGAGGACAGAGTTGTCTCACCTTTAAGTCACCATGGGAGGTAGCAACAGCGGCAAAACTATGTCTGTATAAACAGGACAGCTGGCAAGATTGGACTATGGGCAGGATGGATGCAACATTTTGAAGACATGTTTTGTGCATGACCCACCACAGGAGATTTAATTTAAAAAATAGCTGCTAGCAGTTAGCAGCTAACTCAAAAAGGAAGAACAGTGGCTGAAAACGTCCACAAATTGGGAAAAACAATGAGGTCTGGGAGTTCCTTACCCTTCAGGCAGAGGACAAGATCATCACCATATAACAGGGGCAGTAAATATATTTATTGTCATGTTTCTGCCACTGTAATTATTTATAAAGCACTGCCGACATGTATGTTTTATATCACACGAGAGGCTGACACTGTTGTGAAAAACGTCAAGCCCGTCACACTTCTTTTGTTTCTGCGATGGCGGCATACTATTTAAAACCGCACACTGGAGCAGAATGATGCATTTGGTCCCGTGCAGAAATGCAAAGGCAGCATAAAGAAGGGACTTAGTCGCAGCCTTATAGCACATCTCTATGGAAAAGGGGCTATAGAATAAGCACACATACTTAAAGTCATTTCTGTGACTTGGCTGAGACACATGTCAGACTAAAAGAAGAAACAAACTGAGCAACTGCTTGTGCTTTTCACAGCCTGTGTGATGTCCAAAGGATTAGGTATGTCAGCAAGCTTGTTTTAGATGTTATCCAACTACCATAGGCAAGAGAAGGAAAAAAAAAAAAAAAATCCATGTCCTTCCCTTTCCATTAGTGCTTTGTGATGCAGCGAGACAGGACAGGGAATGAGAATTACACTATGACGCACTATACAGGATAAAACTGTTCCTGACGCCCCACATATGTCAGATCAGGCCATTTTCAGTCTGATGCTGTGTAATCTGAGTAGTTGCATTGTAAGCCCAGTCCTGACATTTGATGCTCTCAGTGGATTCAGCCTTTGCTCCAAATGGGTCTCACAGAAATACATGAAATGACCACAACCTCTGAACAGGGCATTACGCTGTGGTGGCATGTATTGTGTTGAAAATACGTTCGACACCACAGAAATAGTGCCAAGAGAAAGTTAATCACAATCC